TGCTCCTTGCTGACACCAGAGTCGCTGGAAAAATCCGGTGCTAACTATTGCCATTTTTCAAAAGAAGGCATCTTCTGCCAGTACCTGTAGTTTTGTTCTTTTTCCATATTCTTGTTTTATGTTGCTATTTCCCCCCTCACCTGCAATTAAAGTGCTGCAAAAATAATGTGGTTGCTCTGCAGGGTCCACACACACACACACACACACACACAGCCTGCGCAATTGCTCCTGTGCTTCAAACAATGATCATCTGCAATTTGCAGCTTCAGTTTTTATAGGTTACTCGCAACCAGTTTGCATTCGCATACTAGGCTGCGGGAGTCATACAGGCGTTGGGATAGAACTGGAGAGAATTTTTTGGCTGGTTCAGTGGGAGAACCTTCACTTCTAACACATTCTTAAAACGGGCTGGTGGTTCTTTGGCAGGTATTCCTGGTGTGCAGGAAACAGATACTCAGCTTCCCTGTTACTCGCATCCCTGGGAGTGTTTGCTTTCTAGCCTACTTGTCCTAGTGAAGTGCACCGTTAAGACTGCAGTTCTGTACGTATTCACCTGGGAGTAAGTCCATTAAATTTGGTGGAACTTGCATCAGAGTGCACATGCATTGGGTTGTTGCTGCTTTCTTATGAGTTCCTCGTGTGCAGTGGTTCTGACAAATGCTTCCAGATGAGAAGGCTATGGTGAAGCCAATGGACACTTGCTACTCAGTCCTATATTATGCATTCAGCAGCATGAAATGGTACAGTCCTGAAATGGTGAAGTGGACTGATCAGTTTAAATGCTTTCCAATTTTGTTGTACAAAAAGTCCTTGCTGGAAGACGATTACCTTAGGTAGTAGTGCATTCTACACTCATGTGCTGATCTTACCTCATTCAGCCGCCCTCAAGATGCAACATCTGATGTGCAGGTTTTGCATTTGCGGAGTCTTTTAAACCACAATAGCATGGCACTTTTTTTAGGCCAATGGAAATGCAGTGAGGAATGTGATTATGAAAGTGCCATGAGCACCTTTTTGACGGTGCCTGCGGCCTCAACTCATATCATTTTCTGACTAGTTTAGAAATTGAATATTTTAATTTGTACATGTGAGAGATTGAGTATTCTGCAGCATGCCATCTGAGTATTGCACTTAAAAAAAAGGTGGAAGAAGTAAGTATAGTTATCCCAGTTTGTGGTTGAAATGCTGTGACATTGGGGAAAACTTTGCCTTGCATTTATTTCATTAGCTCTTTCCAAGCCATACCACCCATCTTTTTTGCTGCTGCTGTGAATAAGGTGCCATCTATTTACAAAGAACAGATTTGACTGGTCCCTACCCCTAGGAGGGTTATCTAAAATGAATTGTAGAATCATAGAATAGTGGAGTTGGAAGGAATCCCAAGGGTCATCTGGTCTACCCCCCTGCACTGCAGCAATGTCAACTTGATAATACATGACAGATGGTCATCCAACCTCTGCTTAAAAACCTCCAAGGAAGGAGAGGCCAGTAGCTTTCATGGGAGTCTGTTCCACTGTCGAACAGCTCTTACTGGTAGACATTTCTTCCTGATGTTTAGTTGGAATCTCCTTTCATGTAATGCATGGTGCACTTTCTTTTTTGTTAAGTAGAGGTCTTGCTCCCCTACAGCAGTTGTCATTTGTACACATGGATTTCATGCTGTGTTTTATGTGAAGATTTCTTGTGTTGCAGTGTTTTCTACACAGAAATTTTGTCAGATCTGAACAGTGGACGCTTGGGTTGCGAACGTGATCCGTGCGGGAAGCACGTTCGCAACCCACAGTGTTTGCAGCCTGCAGCGCCACATTGCGCACGTGCGGGTCACGATTTGGCACTTCTGCGCGTGTGCAAGCGCCAAAACCCAGAAGTCACCCATTCCGGTACTTCTGGGTTTGGTGCGGTGCACAAACCGAAATCGCGCAACCCAAAGCGTCTGTAACCCGAGGTATGACTGTACTTCTTTTAAGAATGGGTCTATACGTTCCATTTCTCTCACTTCTACATAACAGGAATCAAAAAGATGAGCCATGAGGCACCTCATTCCTCCATAAAGTAGTAGAGGTGTGGTGTGGGAAGAACTTATTTCCAGAAATTCTCCAGCTTTGCCCCACTGCAGATTGCCGAAGTGCCATTACAGCTGCAATCAGCCTTGCTTGCCTTCACTGTTGCAGTTCTTCTCTCTCCTGCTGCCATGAAACTTCAGGTCTTATGTGTCAATAGATTACAACATTTGGTTCACCCTGTGGAAAGATGACCTGTATTTTTGTACATGCACTACTAGAAGACAAAACGTTTTTTCTCCTCAAGATAGAAGTTGGGAGTGAGGGTGTAAAAAGGATAATTTGAGCGAAGCTCAACTGTTCGGAAATCTAGGCCTCTTTCTTAATTCTTTAAATAAGCTATCCAATTTAAGAAGCGTGAATTTATGCATCAAGTTTGTGGCTCTTGCTTGGAGGAAATCAGATATTCTTCAGGATTAGCAGAAATTTCTCGGGGAGGCGCTAACATTGACTGCTGGCACAGTGACTGCATTGCTGCTGTCTTCTGGTTTAAGGCTCGTTTTCTCAGCTTGAGATGTCTCTTTAAACATTTATTTATTTATTACTTGCCAGTTCTTGTGTTGAACCAGATCCTTTACAAGGTGATAATGAGCCATATTCTGCCTTAATTTTTATTTTATTTTAAAAAATTATTGTTCATTTAAGACACAATTTGGACTCTGTAAGTGTTCTATAATAATACTTAATATTTTCACAACATTTAAAGATGTACTTTAAAAACCCCTTACTGTTCATTTAAGACAAGATTCATTTAAGAAATAATACTTGATGTTCTTGTTGTTGTTGTTTAGTCGTTTAGTCGTGTCTGACTCTTGTTTTTAAAACGGGCCAGTCTTGCCAGACTCTAGGGTTGTGCGCCCATCTCACTCAAGAGGCCGGGGGCCAGCGCTGTCCAGAGACACTTCCGGGTCACGTGGCCAGGGTGACAAGCTGCATCTGGCGAGCCAGAGCCGCACACGGAAACGCCGTTTACCTTCCCGCTAGTAAGCGGTCCCTATTTATCTACTTGCACCCGGGAGTGCTTTCGAATTGCTAGGTTGGCAGGCGCTGGGACCGAACAACGGGAGCGCACCCCGCCGCGGGGATTCAAACCGCCGACCTTTCGATCGGCAAGTCCTAGGCGCTGAGGCTTTTACCCACAGCGCCACCTGCGTCCCCTCTAAAAACATATTCTGCCTTAATTCAGATTTGAACTGAAATGAGATTTGCTTGGCAGACTCTGCTTCAGAAGTTCACCCTTCAGGGAACTCCCATTCTTCTCTTTGTTGAGAGCAGGGATTTGAAACCTCTGAGCCTCCAGCTGTTGTTGGACTCCAGCTCCCATAAGTCCCAGCCTGCTGACCCAGTGGTCAGTGATGATGGGAGTTGTAGTCAAACAATGGCTGGATGGCCAAAGGTTCTTCACCCCAGTTTTGGATAATCCGTTTAAGTCTATGATGGGCTGCGGAAGTAGGCAAGGTAGGTATTTGTCCCGGAGTTTGGATCACAGTGCATGGACTCATTGATCCCCTTCCCTCTCATGAACACTAGGGACGCGGGTGGTGCTGTGGTCTAAACCACTGAGCCTCTTGGGCTTGCCAATCAGAAGATCAGCGGTTCAAATCCCCACAATGGGGGGAGCTCCTGTTTCTCTGACACAGCTCCTGCCAACCTAGTAGTTTGAAAGCATGCTAGTGAAAGTAGATAAATAGGTACTGCTGTGGCGGGAAGGTAAACTGCGTTTCTGTGCGCTGTGGCTTCTGTCACGGTGTTCTGTTGTGCCAGAAGCGGTTTAGTCATGCTGGCCAGATGACCCGGAAAGCTGTCTGTGGACAAACGCCGGGTCCCTCAGCCTGAAAGCGAGATGAGCACCGCAACCACATAGTCGCCTTTGACTGGCCATAACCGGAGTCCCTTAACCTTTTTTTAAAACTATGAACACATTTTAGCTCTCCAACAGCTACTCTGCAAAGTTCTGGAAGAATATTAATCCTTGGGTTGTTTATTTAAATGATTCAGCAGCAGCCCTATTTATTTATTCAAAGAATTTATAAACTACCCACTATTTCTGGAAGAAAGACAAGTCCATTGTTTGCTTGTTTATTCAAATAATTTTGCACCCACGTTTTCATTTACTTATTTATTTATTTTTTAAAAAATCTGCCCATCATTCAAAGATATTGTGGCAGTGTACAAAAGAGAGAGAGAGAGAGAGAGAGAGAGAGAGAGATTAAAACAAAGCACGAAGTTAAAAACAACAAGAATACCTTATATTCATCTGAAAAACAAGCAAAAACAATGTTCAGCAATCTGGACTTGAAGAAGCCTGGTCCTCAAAGAGCAAATTGTTGTTGGCATCCTAATCTCCATGGTGAGGGTATTCCAAAGTGTGGGTGCTGCCCCACAAGAAGCTGTTTCCTGGATGACTTGTTAAATGAGCTTCTGGGATGTATAATATCCACAAGAGAGGCCCACAGTTTACCTGTGCTTAGAACCATAGACTAGTGCCCACCTGATCCTTGAACATTACCAATCAAGCTGTAATACCATTTTAAAACTAGTGAGTTTTAACTGGGGTTTTTTTCAACCTACTGTTTCACTGAAAAGGCCTGAGTGGCACTTCTGATTTTCCCTGATTAAGAAAGTAATGCACCTTATATCAGCAGATACAGGCCCTGAAGGCAGGGCGGGGGGGGTGTCTTGCTGTGCCACCAGTGACTATAGTGTGGTGATGTGGGATTTGGCCTTCCCTATAGTGGCACCCTTTCCCAGGAGATGTGATGGGATTCTATCACCATATGAAAACGTATTTGTTCTACCAGGCTTTTGAAGGGATCTGTTTAGGGTCCCCCCTGAGTTTGGGATGATTCCATATCACAATACTATTCCTGCTTAAACATGAAATAAATTAAATGGTCAGAAATTCTCTTTTAAAAAGCCCATTATTCTCTTATACCTCAGGTGACGCAGAGTGCCATGAAGCTGTGCATTCAGCAAGAGTTTGACAAAGTACGGTGCCTGGTTTGTGAAGAGGAACACAGAGCTCTCCACTTGGTGGATCTCCAAGAAGCACTGGCCACTGCTCACACGACAGAAGTTCTGGCAGAAATTGATGTTCGCATGGAAAAATTGATGACTGAAATGGCAGAGCTCACAAGGCAGCTGAACACCTTTAATGAGCTAGCCATGCTCAAGCCTGAGGTAAATAAAGTACATGCGAAGCAGTTAACAGCAGAGGGCCGTAAAGCTTTATGATGGATGCAGAGGTTTAGTCTACTTTATTGCTTGTCAGCATTTAAAGATGGCCACAAATCCACTAAACTTCCAAGGGGATATGCAGAGTTGTAAGTAATAACACATTATGAGTTGTGTGTGGTTATGTTGATACCCAATTGACTGAGGTGGTTTGAAAGGGCACAAAGCCAACTGCTTCCATCCATTTCAAAGCAAGGCTGCAGCGCTTTGCTGCATGATGTTTGTATCTCAGGACCCATACAGAGTATTTTTCACATTTTTGTTACTCCTTTCAATTCTGCTTTCTATCAAAGTGGAAAGAACGCAGTAGAATGTTGCATTTTGGTTATATTTGATGGCTCCCCTTTCTTCCTTTAAAGGAGGAGGATACTGTGCTTTTTTGTCCTAGAATAGGTCTGTGTTTTTATTACAGCTTTCGGGTTGGCATGAATTTTATTTGACAGCTGTTTTAGCCACTTTGGATATACAGTAGCTATCTCCCATATGCCACAATGGTGGTCTTATGTTTTCAGTTTGGGGTTCAGCAAACCACTCATATACCGTATTTTTCACTCTATAGGACGCACTGGACAATAGGACGCATCTTGTTTTAGAGGGGGGAGAACAAACAAAAAATTCTCCCCCTCTCTGCCCAGCACCCCTTCAGCGAAGCGGCAGGAGGTGCTGCGCAGAGGGGGGGAGAATTTCCCCCCTCTTGTTTTCCCCCTCTAAAACAAGGTGCCGTTTAAGGTGCGTTCAGTCGCCTTCAGGCGGCTACCTTGGAAGCCTGGAGAGCGAGAGGGGTCAGTGCGCACCGACCCCTCTCGCTCTCCAGGCTTCAGGTTCCTTTCGACCTGCTCTTTGGGGCTGGCAGGGGGAAGCCCACCACCAGCCCCAAAGAGCAGGTTGGGGAGCAGCGGAAAGGCGCGCAGCGGAGAGGCTGCTGCCATAGTCGCGCGTCACCTCTCCAGCTGGGAGAGGGTCGCGGGGCTATGGCTTCTTCGCTCCATAGGACGCACACACATTTCCCCTTCATTTAGTTCAGGATTAATGGTAAAAGGAAAACTATCTAATATTATGTAACTTTAAAGTGTGGTTAAGTACTCATAATACAAGACAAACTTAATAAGAAATAAGTTCTTGAAGCTTTTACTTTTTTATTATATCTTGATTTGTGGCCTGCACATTCATGGCACACGCTTACAGTTAAGATGGTCTTTACTCCCCATTTAAGACTTTATTCCAACTTCTTGAGTAAAAATACAAATGTAACCTTGGTGAAATTTTAATTACTTACTAGAAGTTGTATCACTGATTTTAAGAAACTAAGTTAAGAAAGAACTTGTACTGATTTTTTTTTTTAAATTGTTATAAGCACAGATTGAGCCTATGATTCACTTGTCTTAGAAAGGAACCATAGGTACTTTGATAGTTGGGTGGAAAGGTTGTTGATCTCTATAGATCACAGAAATATTTTTACTGTTAGTACCTTGGTATCTTTTTTTCACTTTCTGTTCTGCAGCTTTCCCCCCTCAAGAAGGAAAGCTCTCTGTAGCAGTCATTGAGTAAAGGGATTTTCTCTTCCTTTAGTCTTGTGAGGAACGGGGTTTGTTCACCCACGTCTTTAAAAATTAAATGCCAAGCCCTGTTAGTCAGTGATTTTTCCACATCAACCTTCTTCATCTTGTCTCTGTTTCTTGAAAACTGTATACCGTGAGCTAGAGGTAAAGGTAAAGGGACCACTGACCGTTAGGTCCAGTCGTGGACCACTCTGGAGTTGCGGTGCTCATCTCGCTTTATTGGCCAAGGGAGCCGGTGTACAGCTTCCGGGTCACATGGCTAGCATGACTAAGCCGCTTCTGATGAACCAGAGCAGCGCATGGAAACGCCGTTTACCTTCCCGCTGGAGCGGTACCTATTTATCTACTTGCACTTTGACGTGCTTTTGAAGTGCTAGGTTGGCAGGAGCTGGGACCGAGTAACGGGAGCTCGTCCCATTGCGGGGATTCGAACTGCCAACCTTCTGATCGGCAAGCCCTAGGCTCTGTGGTTTAGACCACAGCACCACTCACATCCCTAGTGGTCCCTAGAGGTGCTTATATGCTAATTATTATACAACTTTTTCTCCTCCCTGCCCTTTAAAAAATAGAAAATACAAAGAAACAGTGAGCCTAGAAATAGAACACTTCTGCTGTAGGCTCGGTGCTAAAATAAACATTAGTTTTAACAGAGCTATAATTCAAGAAAGGTCTGGATCTGGAAGATGACTGATGAATTCGTAAATGTAGTTTTAAACATGCAGTATATCTAAAAACAGTAAATTCTTCATTAATCTGGATCTGTTAGGTTAAGACATGAAAACTGAAATAACATAATAGCCCTATTTTTGTTCTGACTAATTTGCTTTCATGAGAGGAAGGGAGCAGAAAGAGAAATAGGACTGTTCCACCACTACATTCTGAGGCAGAAGTGGGAAATCTGTGTCCTTCTCGGTATTGCTGAATTCCAACTCCCATCAGCCCCAGCCAGCATAGCCAGGAATGAGGGGAGTTGTAGGCCAGAAACATCTGGAGGGCCAAAGGTTCCCCACTCCTGTTCTGAAGACCATGTCTTTGCCAATCTCATGTTGTAGGAGTGGGATATGGAAAGATGCTGGTTTATGTGCTACACACCATATCTTATGAACACATGAAGTTTCCATGTTCAGAATCATCTCATTAGGGTGCCAAAGCCATTGGTGGTAAGGGACGTAGGTGGCGCTGTGGGTTAAACCACAGAGCCTAGGACTTGCTGATCAGAAGGTCGGCGGTTCGAATCCCCGTGGCGGGGTGAGCTCCCGTTCCTCGGTCCCTGCTCCTGTCAACCTAGCAGTTTGAAACCACGTCAAAGTGCAAGTAGATAAATAGGTACTGCTCCGGCGGGAAGGTAAACGGCGTTTCCGTGTGCTGCTCTGGTTCACCAGAAGCGGCTTAGTCATGCTGGCCACATGACCCGGAAGCTGTATGCCGGCTCCCTCGGCCAATAATGCGAGATGAGCGCCGCAACCCCAGAGTCGGTCACGACTGGACCTAATGGTCAGGGGTTCCTTTACCTTTACCTTTAAGCCATTGCTGGCTACGTTGAGTGGCAGTTGCTCTTCAAGGTCTCGGTCTAAGAGTGTTTTTAACTGGAGATGTTTGGAATGGAACTTGGGACATTCAGTATGCAAAGCCTGGCTCTCTGTTCTCTATCTGCTACTAGGCTGCTGATGTAATGTTTGCCCAAGCCTGCCTTTAAAAGCACCAGTTGCTTACCAAATAATTTAAGAAAGCATGGATGAGTTATATGCATTTCTTTAATGTCATGGATATGCTCGCTTGTCTCTTTAAACAAATGTCTATTAAATTTCTCTATTAACTGGAAGTTTCTATTTTGCATCTCCTCCTTATCGGGCCCTCAAAGTGAGCGGATATCAAAGCTTGTTTAATGTTGCCCTTTTCTCAGCAGAAGAGAAAATGTTGCTTGTGTAACTCCACAGTGGTATTTACATAGAACTGATTATTGCAATGCCCTTTCCTCTCTCAGAATGTGATATAAAATGTCCTTAATGCGCCATGCTTTAATGAGCATCGAGCCAGCTTCTTTTTTTGCCTCAGCGTATGTGTTGCCTTTAGTTCACACGCCTATGTGAAGGCAAGAAGGAGCCAGCCCAATTTCTATGGGATTATAGGTATTTATCATTTAAGCACCAGGGCATGTGGGGGGGACCCCATAATGTGAAATGTTAGGTACCATTAGGGCCTTGTGCAGTCATGTGCCATCTGCCATCCCAAGCACTACATAAGTGTTATCAACTATCATTCGTAGCAGGATGAGGTGGTGGCTTCAGCATTTTTCATCCAGAATTGTTCTCAGCTGGCCAGGATGACCTGAGAATCCAGAGTGAAGGGCTCAAGCGTGCTTAATGGATGAATGGTGAGATGATCGCTGTTGTTACTGCCGCAGGCCCAGTGTAATAAATGAGCTTTTCTGTGTGCCCTCCTGGTTGCATGTAGCCTGCAGCTTGCAATGTAATGATAATGACCTCCATTAGCTGAGTGGAACTTCTCTTTTTATCATTGGACACTAAGCCTTGCATCTGACTGTCATACATGACTTACTCGCACTAGTCTAAACATGAAAATCAGTGTTTGCAGGGCTGCTCTCAACATTGTTTTATTTTTGTTTGTTTGTGTGTTTTCCTGCAGAGCACAGATGAAGAAAACAGGTGAGTACACTGACTTCTTTCTTTCCAAGTTTATACATTTCACTAGTTTTATACTTTTCACTAATTTTACAATCATGTTAACAATTTAAAAACTTGACTTCCCTCTCTTTCTGGAGTTCCTTAAATTTATTTTTTAATAACCTTTGCATATCCAAATTAACTTAATTTGCTCATTTATTCATCTACTTTAAATATATACTCTTATAAAACTGCAGGTTATTACAATAATCATGCCAATGATCTTATCTGTTACAGTTTATCTGTAAATATTCAATAACCCATTTCCATTCTCTTATAAAAACCTGTTATCTTGATCTCTTATTCTTTCAGTAAGTTTCACCATTTCTGCATATTCCATAACTTTTTGTATCCATTCTTCTTTTGCTGGGTCTTCTGCTTCTTTCCATTTTGTGGCAAGTAACATTCTTGCCACTGTGATAGCATACATGAATAAGTTTCTATACATTTTAGGTAGTTGTGTCCCTATAATTCCCCAAAGAAAAGCTTTTAGTTTTTTAAACAAAGGTTATTTTAAACATCCTTTTCATTTCATTATCTATCATTTCCCAGTAAGCTTTAACCTTACTACAAGACCACTGCATATGATAAAAAAAAACCTTCTCTTGCTTCCTCCCTTCTTCCCTCCTTCCACCTAATAAGCATGCAAAATTCCATTGGGGATGAGATAAGACTTAAACATTTTTTAAAATGCACTGGAACCATGTTTGTTTTATGGGCAGGAGTTGTAGAAGTTTGGGTTTTCAGCCAAGGCTATAGCTAGTAACACGTTGAATCACTTATGTGAAAACTAGACCTGTAAGCAAGGGTTTTGTTGTTCATTTCAGTCTGAAAGTATAATTCATTTTGGTAATTGCTACCATGGTTCCTCCAGGGTACACCTGTTATCTCCAGTGGTTAGGGGAATCTCTGTGTGGTTCCTGAAAGTCAAGGCATGAAACACTGGGGACAAAGATAGGCAGTCAGCTGTGTTGTGTGGTGGCTGATGCTTTGAACTGTAGTCAGGAAGAGAAGCAGTAAGCTTTTCTTCCCTGTTGGTATTTTCTGGTAATCCCATGTGTGTGTTTGGGATTGCATTCCTTTTTTACAGCTCCAGATCTGACTTTAGGTTCTGTTCTGTCTTTTGTTTGGGAGGGGGTGAGGCACATTTTTAACACTCTTCCCATCAGCTTTACACAAAGGGATCTAAAAGTGTTTGCCCAATTGCAAGGAAGCATGTACATTAAATAGAGAAAGCAAAACAAAAAACCCAACCAGTTTGTAAATTTGTTCAAGCAAGCAACACCAAGAGCTGCTAGTATGGCATGATATGAAATATTTCTTGTCCAACCGCTGATACTAGTTTGAATTCTTTACATTGCTTATTTAGCTAACAAAATGCTACCTAATAAAGTGCAGGGATTAACTCACAATGACTTACCATGGCCTAATTGTGCCCCCTCTGGACAATTAATGAGCTGCTGTTATGGTCTAAAGGCATATGAGTTGCAATATTGGTCTATATATAATCTTGTGACAGTGGTTATTGCCAAGTATGGAAACTGAAATCAAACTAATTTCACATGTTATTGTACCCAAAAGTAAAATGTCTTAGATTCCTCCCCCACTTTTTTCTTTTTAAAAAACAGTGTTAATTATTTAGATTTTCAGTGGCCTTATAAATATCACCTCCAAGTTATAAAAAACACCTCCTAGTTATGTACAATATAAAGACAACATCATTACAAAATCGCATGTAAAATTCAGAGATTAAAGCACACATACAAAATCTGTTCCAGTGATTTTTTACTTGAGTAAAGAAAAGTTTTTGCCTGGTGCTAGAATGATGGCAATGTTGGTGCCAGGTGGGCTGTTTTGGGAAGAGCATTCCATAGAAGGCCCTCCCTCTTGTTGCCTCCCTCCAGAGCGAGCACTTAGAGGAAGGCCTCAGATGATGCCCTTAAAAGACTGGGTAGGTTTGTAGGGGAGAAGATGTTCTTCGGGTATTGCTGTTCTGAGCCACTGTGAGTTAAAAACAGCACTTTGTACTGGTTTATGAAATTTTTACTTCTTGCTGTGACCAGTTTTTTGCTCTTTATCTGTTTTATGTGTTTATAGATACACAATCATTTGACTGTTTTTTCTCTCCTCTGTGAATCCTTCCAATCCCTATTTGTGGGAAGGTTAATCCAATATTCATCACATTTATTTTCTGTTGCATTTTAAAACACACACACACAACTGCCTGCAGTACCACAGCAGGGAAAGGGGAATTTGACAACGCCCGCTGCAATCCTTATGAAGTCTATCAATGTGACTTCCACTATTTTGACATTGAGTTTGGTGCAGGCTGACAGGCTGAATAGATTGCTTCTTCCTCTCTTCCCTGTGGGCCTTATTTTTCATAGCCATATACTTTCCTCAGTAGGAGGGGAGACGTGCTCTAATAATACAAGGCAAGCTTGGCATTTCTAATACACATTCCAGATTGCCAGCCAAATGAATGCTCAGGTGAGTACTGCGCATGCCCATCATTTCCAATAAGCATAGGCTGTTCTGCATTGTTCTTGGGGAACAATTTTGACTTTGTGGGAGTTGGGAAGTGTCCATTCACAAAGAGAGAAAAGGGAAATGGATTAAGTCAACAAGATGACGACGTGCAGAGCTAGAACACACATTTTTGTGCCTTTCTGTTGCCTGCAGACATGTTGACGTTGTTTTAACACTGATATTAAGAGTACTCAAGGCAATTGGTATGGAATTTTCCAGGCTGAGTTGTTCAACTGAATTTATTGGTGTCTAAGTAGCTTGTTTTATGTTTCTCTTCCATCTCACTCCAGACCTTGCAATTTTAATGTATCTATGTTGAGTAGTTCATGGTGCTTTGAAATGGCACATCCGAAAGAAATATCAATAGTAAGACAGCTTCTTTTAAAAGTAAGGAGAAAGGTGACATTGCATCATGTAATTTTCTGGTTCTTGCAGTATGGAGTGGGCCAGAGTTGGCTGCAGAACTGGCAAAAAGCCTTTGTGTATGATGTTTTCCCTAATCAGCAAAGGGTGGGTTTGGTGTGAAATGAATGGAGTTCTCCACTATGTGCATTTTTCTTAAAGCTGTCGAGCAGTGAAAATCATATCCACTGTCCCCTTAGAAGGTCAAAAACCATTTTGGGATTCAGGAAGGGTAGCCTCGGATATAGTTAGGAGATGGTTTGCTAAGATCCTTGCAAGAATTTTGCCAGTGGCAGCTAATAAAGCGATGCCTCGATAGTTTCTGCAATCCGTGCAGAATCCACCTTTTTAAAAAGAGATTGATAATTTTGGCATCCCCAAAGCTGGGATCTCCTCTCCCAGATTTTTTCAATGAGCTTGTGAAGTTGTTGTGCAAGTTCAATTCTGCCCACTTTAAAGACATCGGTGGTCCACTGGTTTTGTTGTTTTTCATTTGGTTAATCACAACTCTCTCAGATTTGGAGATACTACAAGCTCATCTCTAGTTTGTTTTTGCAGAATTTGTGAGAGGAACTCAGCAGCTACAGGGGAGTTGCTGTTAAGAAGATGCTGGTAATGTTCTTTCCAATGCAATGCAATAGCTTTTTTATCTTTTAGAAGTGTGGTACCCTCTGTTGAGCATAGGGGGCATATGCCATAATTTATTGGCCGATAGATGGTTTTTGTGGCTTTAAAGAAACTCTGTGCATCATGAGTGTTGGCGAAGTGCTAGATCTCTTGAGCTTTTTTTATCCACCAGATGTTCTTTAGTTCTCCAGTTCTTCTTGAACCTCATCTTTAGCTGACGTGTTTTTCTTAGTGGCACAGTTTCTGTCTCTTTGCCAGATCTGAAAGGCTTTCATTTTCTTCTCAGTAATGCATTCAATCTCACTGTCATTCTCATCAAACCAGTCCTGGTGTTTCTTGATTTGGTATCTAATAGTTTGTTCACAGGCTGCAATAATGAATACACAAAGATCCTATACACAAAGATTTTCCTCTGAGGCTCTTGTCTGGACACCCAGAATGAGGTAGTTGTGGTGCCTCCCTTGTGAGATTATTGCCTCATGGAGACTTGCCTGGCACCTAGGATGATGTCTTCATTTTCTGAGGCTTTCACCCTCTGTCTTCCCAATATCCCCACCCCAGTGTGGTTGCTTATAGGACTGCTGTTTGCAGTCTTCTTGTTAGTTATTGTAAGCTGACTGGGACATTCTGAATTGAAGTGTAGAATGTTTTTAAACAAAAAACTGTCTTGTATCCACTGCTGTTGCTCTGGGAAGTCTCTGCAGCAAGTCTATTTTCATTGATGGCAGCTTTTCGAGAGCTCTCCCTAATAAGAGTAGCCTGGATTATATTTTCACGCTTGCATTTGTACTGTATTGGAAAAATAACTTCCTTATGCATGCCATATTTTCTTTCTGATGTCATTTCTGTTCCAAAGGATCAGACTTTCCCTCAGTTCCTTTATTTCTTCGTGCTTTATCTGAACATTGCCCCCCTCAGGGGAAAAAAACAACAACCCCAAGCTTCTAAACTTTCCACCCAACCTAATTTGTTATCTCCTCTCTTGATGCAAAGGGTGCTTTTGTATCCTTTCTTAATGGCGTAGTCTTTTCCCCACATCCTGTCTAATGCCAAGTCCTTCTGGTTTTTTCATTTTGCCCTCTCCTTTCTGTAACTGTCTTCCATATGCTGACTTACTCTGCAGTGGTGGCCTTCTCTGCTGCTGCTCGCCTATCTCTTCTTATTATCTTTGTCATATTTATGTCCTATGTCAAAATCATGCAAACCCTGACAACGACCTTCAGATTTCCTACATCCAAGGAATCCTGTCTGCTCAGGAATGGCTGTATCTAAATAATATCTAAAACTGTCAGCCATTTATGCTAAACTCTGCCTGCATCTGCCACCATTTTGTGACTGGTGGGATTAGAAGTGTGACGGGCCAGAGGAAATGGCAGTGAGAGAGGAGAATATGGTTCTCTTTCCCATTTTTAACAGTCCTTCGC